ACCAAAAACACCCCAGTAGAGTATCCGTCCATCATCCTGGTGTGTATGGTTTTACAACGTCCAAGGTATGCAAAGGGATTTGTAGCCGTCAGTCTAATTTTGAGAACAAATAAAGGGGCTCCTACAGGCTTTCCAAGTGCTAGGAGCCTCCAAATTCCAGAACTCTGGATGGGAGGTGTTTTAAGCGTACATAGCTGAGGCAATTTAGAAACTTGGTTTATACAGTGATGTCATAAATAAAAATAGAATTAAAGTTAAATTTTCCTTCCTACTTTGACTTAATTTATCCAGTTAAATATCTCAAGGGCTGTGTACCTCTGGATCAGAGGCCTCTACCATAACTTAGAAGCCCCCTTCTTTGTCAAAATCAGTCCAATCTCATTGTGTATAGAATGCCCCCACGAAGCCATGAATAACGTGAGCCTGGCCCGTCCTTCAGAGGAGTGAGGTAGGGTGCTCGGCGCCCACGATGAAGTTTACTTCCCTGAGGTTTAGGCAGTTAGAATCATGCCAGCTGGATCCTGGAACTCAGCAAATAAGCAAAATTCCTAAATTATATCAGAAAATCCCAATTAGAGAACAGAGACCTGGATCGAAAACAATATTTTAAGGAAATTAAACATCTAATCTGAGTCAAGTGGCTTCTTTAGGAAATAGCCTGGTGTGAGTCTTATCCTGTTTCTGGCAGAGGCACAGCTTGGCAGACACAAGGGTGGTAACTGCCCAGCACTTCAGATTGAAATCAGATGTAGGCAAAACCTTCTCAATTTAAGCTGATTAAACACACAGACTAAACCAGGTAATTACAAATGCATGTGCTGGGGGGTGGAAAGAAGGGACGGAACGGGGAACTTCTTTATTTTTTAAAGTGTTTTCAAAGATGGGAACAATTTTATAAATAAAAAAGTGGAATTAGGCCAAATAGCGAAACAGATGTTTTGGATCATGAAGCTGTTGGGAATTGAGCTTTCTCTTGCCTAGCTCCACCGGGTTCTGACCCAGGATTCAAGAGCTCTGGCTCGCTTCACCTCTAGTCCCAGTCCCAAGTTGTTCGATTCCACTCATTTACCACCCACCCCCGGGGAAAAAACCACCTTCAGCTGAGGAAAGTACAACAAAGAGCAATTCAAATGAGCTGGGGCCGGGGGGATGCTACAGATTTTTACCGCTCTTCACACTGCAGTGCAATGAATGTGCAGGGGAACTTTGGCGCAAGTGGTCCAGTAACAAAAGGAAACCTCTCCAAAGTGCATATTCCTTTTTAAAAGCTCATTAGAAAACAGACAAAGCAATCTCTATTAATACATTTCTCTGGGGTGGCTCTGCTGAATTTCCTGTTGGCTCCTCCGTACTGACAAGACTGAGGCCTGACCGGGGACACTCAGCCTCTCAACAGTCACACTTCTGGGGGCAGTGGGATGTGCAGAGTCTCGTGAGAACCCTAACTTGGACCGTTTGAAATTTCTAAGCTTTCTGCTGTTTACAAAGGTGGAAAGTGCAAATAGTGTGTCATACCCAGGGGTGTATCAGCGATAGTTTGATCTAACTTTACAGTGTTCAATTTACACTTTTTATAGTCAGCCTAATATTTCCTGATAGTTGTTCGTTGGTTTCTTTCATTTCCTCCTTCCATTCCTTGCTTTTTCTTTCTTCCATCCATCCATCCATCCATCCATCCATCCATCCATCCATCCATCCATCCATCCTATAACCGAGCTTCCCTCTCAGTCCTCTAAAGAACGCTGCTGGCAACTGAATTGCCGTTAACATGTAAAAAGCCTCAAGAATACCCTATCGTAGCAAACTTCATTCCCAACATTTGTGGCACTTTATAGTCTTCCCTTACTTGTGCTATGATTATTCCCTTTTTCCTATCTTAGAGACCCTGAGAATGGTCTTTTGTAGCCCTACCTGGAAAATAGTATCCTTTCTGGTTCTTACTGTTGGAAATTTCCTTTTCCAAGAAACAAACCATTTTCTCCTGATTACGTTTCGTCAGGTCTACATGCACCTACAATTCTCCAGAAAACTTCTTGCATGCACATGATGCTCAATGAATAAAGCAGAATGATCATGATAAAAATTCCCAAGATGTAAAGAAGTCTATGACACATGGCCTTAAATTCCCGGTATGATCACATCTTACACTGGCATTGAGCTGCACAGAGTTGAAAACCACTTTCAAAATGCATTTTGCAGCTTAGGACACTGGGGTCCAAAGAATGAGTAACTTTTACAATAAATGAATTGTCTCAAATCACACAGCTAGAGAACCACACAGCCAAGGTTTGATTCACTCAGGCCTTTGGGCTGCACTCTGTCCACTTCAGATACTGCTTCGAGCCTATTTCAGCAGGAATGAGGTTAGAGGGGTGTTGCACCCCTGAAAGCAGACCGAAGTCAGCGCGGGAAGCTGGAGCGCCGCACACAAGGCACCACGGGGTGCAGTGGACACGGTTTCTATTCGGAGCGGCTTCGGTCAGCCTGCCTCGGGTTTCACTTCATCCACATCACATAGCGGCCTGAGAGCCACGGGCCAGGGTACTGAAGCCCTCGGAGCCGCAGTACCTGTGGCACAGAAGCGCACGAGGCACTTCGGGATGGAGCTCGGGCCAGGCACAGGGCCTGGTGGGCAGAGGTCCTGAGGAGGACGGCACCACCTAACCCCTCCTGGCCTTGGCCGGAAGAAAGCAAGACCCTCTCCATCCTTCCAGGGCACGATATTTAGAATTAGAAAGCCTGCGGCCCCTGAGGAGGACAGCACCACATAACCCCTCCTGGCCTTGGCCGGAAGAAAGCAAGACCCTCTCCATCCTTGCAGGTCCAGGCCACCCCCGACAGGCAGTGACAGCTGCAGAGAAAACACAGTGGTTCCTTTCCCCTGTACTTTTTCTGTGCCCTCACGGTCCTCAGGTCATCTAAGGATTTGCTTCGACTGACCATCTCCCCCTGCCTCCTCTCTCCATGCCCCTTGTCCAAATGCCCTCTAACTTTTGGCTTGAGGGATCCCTGGGTGGCGCAGCGGTTTGGCGCCTGCCTTTGGCCCAGGGCGCAATCCTGGAGACCCGGGATCGAATCCCACGTTGGGCTCCCGGTGCATGGAGCCTGCTTCTCCCTCTGCCTGTGTCTCTGCCTCTCTCTCTGTGACTATCATAAATAAAAATAAAAAAAATTAAAAAAAAAATTAACTTTTGGCTTGAGATGCTCCAATTCTGTTTCTGACGCTGCCACCCCCCCCCCATTTGTCCATTTCCCTCTAAGTCCCTGGCAAGAGCAGGAAGCTGGCATAAAGAGAACCTTCTCCTTCCCACACTCTCCCTCATCAGCCCTCATGGTTGCAAGTCTCGGCTGCAAGAAAATGACACTCCAACCTGTTTCTCCAGCCCTTGTTTCATTCCTGAGCTACTTTCAACGGTTGGTTCTGGAACTGCAGCCAGCAGGATGCTCCTGTCTCCCGGGTCAGCGTGCTTCATTCAGCCGCTGGCAACACTCACATTCGAGCCTTCATCA